TGAAGGGGCCAAAGAGCCACATGTGGCTCGAGAGCCGTGGTTTGCCGAGCCGCAGTTTGCCAACCACTGATAGGGGAAGGCCTCACTTCTGAGGGTCCACTCAGGGGAGGCCTCAGGCTCAGCCTGCTAGGGGTGCTCCCAACCAACCTTCCTTCAATCACATTATCAAATGCATCTTGCTGCCCTGGCTGGTTTGGCTCAGTGGATAGAGCGTCAGCCTGTGGACTGAAGGGTCCAGGGTTTGATTCCGGTCAAGGACACATGAGTTGTGGGCTTGATCCCCACTGGGGGGCATGAAGGAGGCGGCCGATCAATGATTCTCTCTTATCATTAGTGTTTCTACCTCTCTCTCCCTCTCCCTTTCTCTCTGAAATCAATAAAAAAATATTTTAAAAAAACGCATCTTGCCAGCAGTGTAGCTAGCCCCCAGAGGTCCCCACTTTGCATGACCGTGGAAACCATGTGATAACTGTATATCTGGGTCTGAATGATTTAATCCTCACCTCCTCCCTGACCGGTAAGCATTAGAATCCTTATCATCATCCCTATTTTACAGATGAGGAATCGGTGGTTCAGAGAGAGGCAGGGCGACTTTTTCTCCTAAGGGCCCACAGCTAGCCGAGACCCGGAGCTAGAACCCTGGTCTTGTGACTCCACGTCCAGAACTTTTTCCAGAGTTGTCTGGGCTAGGCGACAGTCAAAGAAATGCATGGAAGGAGGGGGCAGAATCTGTCCCTCCTCTTGTCCTAGAATCCTCAGAGAATGATGGGGCCATATGGACTGTGATCCTGCATGTTACTCGGCCCATGTATTTTAGGCTGCTCCCCTTGGGGGAGGGGCAATGAAGGAGGATCCAGGTTAGTCTTTCCCCACTGAGTGGGAGACTAGGGACAGGGTGGCTGCCTGGGGCTTGGCTTCTGCTGGTAAAGTCCCAAGAGCAGTGAGGAGGGGGGGAGCCCAGGACAGAGAAAAGCCTCTGCTCTATCTGACTCTCCACGGAGGGCCTGGCACAACCAATAAGTGAGTCAGTTGATTGGTGGAATGAATGAGTGAGTGAATGAATGAATGAATTCTGCTTGTCAGTTTTGAGCTTAGGCATTTTGGAGTGCAGGGGGAAGGTTTGCAAGGGAAGATCCAAAGGCCCTTTGGGGCAGGAAAGCAGGGTGGTACAGTGGCAGAGCTGGGGCTCCGAAGCCAGACATAACTAAGTTCAAATCCTGAGTTCAAAGCCACATACTGGCTGTATCTTTGGGCTTGTGACTTTACCTCTGAAGCTCATTTCTTTGCCTGTAAAGTGGGAATACAATGCATCCTGGGTTGTGAGGATTAAATGTGATCATGTGTTGTAGCTGAGCCTTTCAAGCCCTTTGAGAACAGGGAGGGTCTCTGTGTGATGGAATGAAAAGAACTGATTAATTCAAGAGGATTCTATGGGTGCACTGTGCTAGATGCTGATGAGGAAATGGTGAGGAAACAAATACACGGCCCCTGCCCTTATGGAGCTTAGGGTCTGGTGGGAGAAATAGATGGTCATTGGTCAGAATCCAGGGAGCTGAATAAGCTTAAATTTGTAGCTGTGGGGGCTTTGGGGCCCGGAGAGGGTCTCACCTGGGCAGGGAACTCAGAGAAGGCCTCTGAGATGCTGAAGGATGACTGAGGGGTAACTAAGTAAAAAGCCGAGGGAGGCCCGGCTGGTGTGGTTCAGTGGTTGAGCATCAGCCCATGAACCAGGAGGTCCTGGTTAGATTCCAGTCAGGGCACAAGCCCTGGTTGCTGGCTCATCCCCAGCAGGGGGTGTGTAGGAGGCAGCCGATCAGTGTTTCTCTCCCTCTCCCTTCCTCTCTCTGAAATCAATAAAAATATATATATTTAAAAAGCTGAGGGAGGAGCCTCTGATGGGAAGACTGGCACAGATGAGGGGCTGGGAAAACAGCACTGGGATCTCAGAATCCGACATCACTCTCCATTCCTTCCTCCCCCACCTCCTGGGCCTCCCCCCTCGTGGGCATGCCCGAGAGGCCCCGTCATCCCGCTGGGTGCAGAGACGGGCCTCTGGGAATCACACTTTTAGCAAACAGCCTGTGGTAGGGAGACAGAGCGGACTGTGGAACAGACAAGAGGCCAAGACAAGCTCCCCTCTCCTCACTGCTCTTGGGACTTGGCCAGCGGAAGCCAAGCCCCAGGCAGCCACCCTGTCCCTAGTTCCCACTCGGTGGGGTCAGACTCACTTGGATCCTCCTTCATTGCCCCTCCCCCAAGGGCAGCAGCCTAAAATACCTGGGCTGAGTAACATGAAGTGTGAACAGGATTTTTCAGGACGTCTGGTCCCCAAGCAGAGCATCACTCCCTAGTCCTGTGGTGTGAGTGCGGCTGGCGGGGGACTCTGTGGATCCTCGGAACAGATGCTGGACAACCCGTTTCTGGGCAGAGTCAGTGCCTTGAGCAGGGCTGGTGTCTCAGAGTTCCCTCTGGGCAGGGTGGAGTGTGAAGAGCTTAGCGGGAGCCCCTACCTCAGCTCCCTCTCCTCTCTCTACACGGCCCAGACCTTCCTGGTTTGCCTGCTCCAGAATCCAGGGAGCCGAACAGAGTTGGTGCTTTCCCACTTGGCTTCTTGTCTGTTCCACAGTCGGCCTCCCTACCACCCCCTCTCCCTGATCCCGGTGTTGGCAGATTTACACCCTGCGGTGTCTCTTACCACCCCCACCCCTGCCCCTCTTGAGTCTCTGCTTTAGGCGGTGTGCTTCTCTGCCCCTTGATCTCTCCCTCAGCTCCTGTCTCCTTGTATTAAATGCTGGCTCTACTGCCTACTAAGATCTTTAGCAAGTTGGACGGCCACTCTGCCTCTCAGTTTCTTCATTCGTAAAATGTGGATCCCAGTAGCTGCCTCATAGGCACCTTTGTCCTAAAGATATGATGACGTTGATAAAGCATAGTGTTTTCTCTCCCGCCCCAGGTGGCTGTAGCACAGAGCAGGGAGGGGAGGTTGGGCCAGGCCACATGGGCTGGGGAAGATGGCAACAGGGCCTGGCTGGCTGTCCCCTCTGTCTGCTCTTGAGGTGCCACGCATTGCTGGGCTAAGTGCTCAAGTGTCAACTTTGCAGGGTTAGAACTCTTGATTTTGGGGGCCCAGCACGAGCTCCTTGCCTCTCATGCCCCTCCCCTCTCTTGTGGCCTGGATTGGCCAGGAGAGATCCCAGTGAGGTGACAGGATGCGGTGCAAAGGTCACAGCTGGAGTTCAGGCAGTGCCCAGCCTCAGTTCCAGCTCAGCCACATCCTGGGCAAAGCCTAACTCCCCTGAGCCTCCTTTCTGCATTTGTAAAATTAGGGTGATCTGTTGTGGATTATTGGACAGATTAGTGAGCTCATGCATGCGAAAGGCCATAGCCCAGCACCTGGCCCCTTGCAGGCCCTCGGCACGGCTGGCTGTGGTTGACCAGCACCCCTGCAGCTGCTCCAGGCACGCATAGTTCGTGGCTGTGAGGCCAGATTGTCTGCATTTTCCACCTTGGCCCTCTCCGGCTTCCTGAATCGTCTGCACATTTACTCACTCAACAAGCATTTGCTGATGCTGACCCCTGCCAGAGCCGTCCAGCTCAGCTCCCACTGCCCAGACTCTCCTCCGAAGCCTCAGCACCGCCTCTGGCTCCTAACACAGCCACGCCCCTCAGGACTCCTGGGTAGTTACAACTCCAGGGAGGAGGGCAGCTTCCCTGGGCTGTGGGATTCTGGGGCTCAGGTGGTGGGGTAGGGAGAGGGGAGCGCATGCTGAGGAGTTGATGCCTGGGCTGCACTGTGATTGGGGGCAGCAGTTGGCTACGAGGAGAGGTGGGGTAGGGCATTCCAGGCAGAGGGAACAGCAGGAGCAAAGAAGGGTTCCGAGGATTTCCTGCAGAGGGCAGGGCTGGGTGGCTGTGATGTGGGAGAGGCTGTAGGGACAAAAGCAGGGAAGGCCTTGCCAGCAGGTGTCCTCCTGGCCATGCATGTCAGGTGCCTGCAGTGTGCTGAGCTTCGGCCAGGCTTTGGAGCCAGGGGTGAATCCACCAGCTATGTCTCTGCCTTCCACAGTTCCCGCACATGTTAGAGGAACTCCGTGGACCCGCCCCCGGTAATTGCAGGGAGTCATTCTGGTGGGGCTGGGGAGGCGGGGAGACAGGACTGAGGAAGGAGACAGCCTGGCAGGGCTGTGCTAGGGGCTGGAGGTCGAACGGAGGCTCCAGTTTCAAGCCTGGGCAGTGGGAGCTGGGGCTGGACAGGTTCTCGGGTCCCAGGATAAGGTGGCCGTGCTGGGAAACGGGAGCTTTGGGTCACAGGCCGTGGGGGAAGGACTTCGGAGCAATGTCTGTCCAGAATGGTGTTCAGGAGGATGAGTTTGGTGTGGGTGGGTGTGAGGTGGATTGGGCGGGGAGGGCCTCAGTGTGTGGAAACCAGAGAGGCCAGCTCTGGGTGATGGAAGAGAGAGCTGTGTGACCTTGGGCTGGCCCCTGAAACCCTGGCCTCAGTTGTCCCCCGAAGCACTGTCAGACCTACAGGAAGTCAGGAGGCTGCCAGGTGACTCGTGGTGAGGCAGAGCAGGGAGAGCGAGCAGCGGCCCAGGCTGGTGCTCCTGCCCTGCCTTCTGGCCTTGCCCGGAGCCAACACTTCCCAGGCCCTGGGTTCATTCCCTGAGGAGTGTGTGTGACTCAGACCCAAGCCACTGAGTCCAGGAGTCACAGAGGGCACCGAGGGGCCTCTCCTGAGCTCCTGCCATGTGCCAGAGGCTGGCAGGAGGCTTCTCCAAGCCTCACAACAGCTCTGTCGTGGGGACTAGACATTCTCACGGATGGGTGAGGGAGTAGGTGCCCCTCACAGCCAGATGGTACAAATCAGGTCTTTCTTGACGGCAAATCCTCTCCACTTCAACTCTGCTCCTGCTGTCCATGAGACACAAGAGGAATGGGGGCGAGAGCTGGGGGTGTCTGTTAGAGGAGGGAGGAACAGGGGAGATTATATACCTCTGAGGCCTCTGTGTGGGGTAACAGCTGATGGGAGCCTGGACATTGGAGCCAGACTGACCTGGGATCACGTCCCAGCTGTGCCACTGGGGAGCCCAGGACAGAGAAAAGCCTCTGCTCTATCTGACTCTCCACGGAGGGCCTGGCACAACCAATAAGTGAGTCAGTTGATTGGTGGAATGAATGAGTGAGTGAATGAATGAATGAATTCTGCTTGTCAGTTTTGAGCTTAGGCATTTTGGAGTGCAGGGGGAAGGTTTGCAAGGGAAGATCCAAAGACCCTTTGGGGCAGGAAAGCAGGGTGATATAGTGGCAGAGCTGGGGCTCCGAAGCCAGACATAACGAAGTTCAAATCCCGAGTTCAAAGCCACATACTGGCTGTATCTTTGGGCTTGTGACTTTACCTCTGAAGCTCATTTCTTTGCCTGTAAAGTGGGAATACAATGCATCCTGGAGAGGAGGGAGGAACAGGGGATATTATATACCTCTGAGGCCTCTGTGTGGGGTAACAGCTGATGGGAGCCTGGACATTGGAGCCAGACTGACCTGGGATCACGTCCCAGCTGTGCCACTTACTGAGAGAATGAGCTGGGGCCATATATACACGACCTCTCTGAGCCTCAGTTTTCTCATTTGTGAAATGGGAGTAGTAATAGATCCATACGGGGGACTGGGGGTTAGGAGAAGTTCATGAGGTATGACGTGAGGGACTGCAGCACAGAACCAGGCATTTAGTAAGTATTCAGCAAACATTTTCTATTATTATGTCTACTTAGAAGAGGAGTGAGACTTGCTTCTCATTCATTTGATCGATATTTATCAAGCCCCATAGGAACCAGACTTATTGGGTGGATACTACAGGGAAACTTGATCAGTTCAATATTAGAAATATTCTTTTACTATAAAGGTAACACAGTGGTTATTTCAGAGAAAAGCTTTGCCATTTTGGTGTATTTCTTTTCTCTCTCTCTCTCTCTCTCTCTCTCTCTCTCTCTCTGTTTTAATGCCACGAGGATCACACTTTATTGAAATAATGAGCACATTATATAAACTATTTTGTAAACTGCCTTTTCACTTAACATTATCTCATGCGCATGTACTCATGGTATCAAACACTCTCTGAAAACATGATTATTTTTATGGCTGCATTATATGAGTGTGTTCTATGTGGGGGGGACTTACATGATTTCTAATATTATGCCAATCTAAATAATGCATCTGTGAACATTCTGGAACACTTATGTTTGTGTATGATTTCTATAAGAAATTTTGCAATTGTCAAAGCTCTCCAAGAAGACCTGGGCTGCTGTGTAATGTAGGGAGCGCCCCGTCACTGGCGGTGTGCAAGAGGACACCGCATAACCACTGGTGCAGGTTTGGCACTGCAGATTTGGGTGGAGAAAAGATAAGACAAACAATTCCAGGCCCCTCTCACCATGCCTGAGATTTGAAGAATGCTTCTCAGATGTGATCTCAGATTCCCTCTCTCCCCTTCCTGGCAGATGATGCCTGGATTTTGAGAGGAAGGGGGTCTGTGCAAGGCATGATTTCATTAAGCTCAGAGTCCTGGGACCTCTAAATCCAATTGGCTACTCAGCACATCATAACATGCCCAGGAAGAGGGATAATCGTGGGGCGAGTAGAGCAGAAAGTCTGGCTTAAATGAGCAATTTAGGCCCCATTATCAGCTGGGAGATACGGGGTGGGATGGGGCATCTGGGTTGTGCTCTGTTGATTTATAGCTCCCGGTGCAGCTGCGAAAATCAGCCGCTTTGTCTCTGGCCTGGGTGGGTGTGAGCAGAAAGAATCATGTCTTTCTTTTGTAGCTTTCTGAGTCATTCTTGATAAGTAGAAAGAACTCAAACTTCGAAGTCCTTCACGGCCCAAAAGCCCCATTCAATAAACATCACACAGAGAGAGGGAGAAACAGCCTCGCACTTCTCCCTGCAGAAGTAACCTTTTCACCAAGGCCTAGAATTTTGAATCGTGGATGATCATTCTCTCTCTCTCTTTTTTAAAAAATATATCTTATTGAGTTTTTACAAAGAGGAAGGGAGAGAGATAGAGAGTTAGAAACATCAATGAGAGAGAAACATCAATCAGCTGCCTCCTGCACACCCCCAACTGGGGATGTGCCCGAAACCAAGGTACATGCCCTTGACCGGAATTGAACCTGGGACCCTTGAGTTCGCAGGCCGACGCTCTATCCACTGAGCCAAACCGGTTAGGGCTGATCATTCTCTTTATTGAACACTTATGTTGTGCCAGGTGCTCTGCTTAGAGATGTGTATATAGTTTCCCGTTTAATCCTTATGCCCATATGAGGTGAGCCCCCCTATTATAGATGAGGAAAGTGAGGCTCAGAGAAGTGACAGTGACTCCAAGTTCTGATCTTAGAGCCCACACTCTTAACCACTGCCCTGGCTTCTGCCACCTCGTATGTCAAGTGCAGTCCGTCTGATTTACAAATGAGGAAACTGGGGCCCGGGACATGTTCTGTGTCTTTTGAGTTTGTGGCCAAGCCAGAGTTGGAACCTGCTTTTCCTAATCCCTTGTCCCCTCTTCTTGCATTTCTTTCCACACTTAGAATTACCCGGGCTAAGGGAGAGCCAAGGAGTAGCTAGAAGTAGTAGTTCTGGGAGCATGAGAAGTGGGTTCCTGCCCAGGTCAGTCCAGCCTGGGTGCCGGTGACAATGCCTGACAGGCCCCAAAGAACCCTAAGTGTCGTCTGGCAGCTGCTGGAGAGGCAGCCACATCCTTAGAGGTGGAGAGGTTGGGATTCAAATCCAGGTCTGCTTCTTGCTGGCTGTTCACCCTTGGGCTCACCCCACTGAGCCTGTTTTCTCATCTGTGAAATGGGGATGATAGAGAAACACTTGATTGTCCAGAGCCTGTCACATAGAAAGAGGGGCAACACACACAAAAATAGATGGTCACGAAATAGTGTTTTCTTTTACAAAAAAAAAATATTTTTATTGATTTCAGAGAGGAAGGGACAGGGAGAGAGAGAGAGAAACATCAATGATGAGAGAGAATCATTGATCAGCTGTCTCGTGCACGCCCCCCACTGGGGATTGAGCCCATAATCCAGGCATGTGCCCTGACGAGGGATCGAACTGCAACCCCCCTGGCTCATAGGTTGAGGCTCAACCACTGAGCCACACTGGCTGGGCTGAAATCGTGTTTTCTAATTGCAGTGTAATTGTTCCTGTGTTTGCCTTCCCTTTTACACTGGCTGCTCCTGGAGGGCAGGGACTGTGTCCCATTCATCTTCTCTCTTGTTTCCTAGTTCGATCCCTGGCCCTAAGGAGCCATCACTAAGCATTTCTTAATATCTAGTTGACACTTTGTTAATGAGATTCCCTCTCTTGAGCTGGGTTCTATAATAAAAATCCTCCAACTACCAGACAAGAGGGAAGTAAAATGTGCAGGGACCTCGGGTCTCGGTTCTCTCTCGAATAACCCCTTCTCAGCCCAGGAGATCTTTCCTCCAGGGGCCTTCTCTGATCCCCCTCCTCTGTGTTCCACAGTGCCCTCATGGGTCCCATTACAGCGGGGACCACACACATTTTCAAACACATGATTGCTCATCTCTTTCTCTACCCCCCAAATGAGCAGATGTGTGGTGGTGGTGGTGGTGGGGTGTGTGTGTGGGGCGGAGGGGGGTAGAATCCTTTGTTCAAAGCTGGATACTCAGGTGTTTGGTCAGTAGGTGTTTGTAGGAGGGATATGTCCTATTTCCAGAGACCCATGGATTGACCAGCCACACTTGAGGAACTCTGTTGTGTCCGACTGCTCCATCCCTTGGTCCAGCCATCCGTAAGCCTCCGTGGCTTCCACGAGCATATTGTGGTTCTTGAACTGATCGGAATGAGGAGTCTGCCCTGTTTGTTGCTGACCTGGCTGGCCTCCCTGCTCATGTTCAACTCAGTGGCCCTGTGTTTCCATAGTCCAGTCCTTAAGCTCCTGTGACACACTCACTGGGTCTCATTATAATGAACCACCTTCCTTCCTCAGGCTCTGCCAAAACGGAGACAGCTAATTAATTTCTGGCCACTCGCCACTCCTCAAATGGTGGGCAGGGCTGTCGCTTGCAGCCCTTGCTGCCCAGCCG